AGGGACCCCCCGGGGCCTGGCCGAACTGCAGCATGAGCAGGACACCAACGTCCTGCGCCAAGGACACAACAATTTCCAGTAAGGAAACTGTCAGCCTCGCAAGGCAAATCGTGAGCTCGAAAAGGAGAGGGGTGGAAGAGCAAAAGGAAAATCCTGCAGCACTGAACACCAGGAAGCAAGGTGCAGGTTGCTCTCCAGCATCCTTGGACTTTGCTGCACATCCCATCTCTGTTTTAGCAGGACACCAACGTCCTGCGCCAAGGACACAACAATTTCCAGTAAGGAAACTGTCAGCCTCGCAAGGCAAATCGTGAGCTCGAAAAGGAGAGGGGTGGAAGAGCAAAAGGAAAATCCTGCAGCACTGAACACCAGGAAGCAAGGTGCAGGTTGCTCTCCAGCATCCTTGGACTTTGCTGCACATCCCATCTCTGTTTTCCCTCCTTGAAGAAGACAGGCTGGCCCTGGGCTCCAGGCGCTGAGCGATTTCTCACCCAGGGCATTTGCAAGGGCTGGTCCTGCCCGGCGCCACCAAGATGCCTCCTCAGAAACACCCCCAGGTTGTGGGGACCTGGGTCCCCAGCAAGCACTCAGCTCCATCCAGCCCCATCACCTCCCATCAGAGCCGCTGCACAAGCATGTGCCACGCTTTGCCTTTTCTCATATTTAATTATCATAATGACCACCACCAGCATCTGCTGCTCTCTCCATCAGTGAGGGACATTTCCTCGCGATTAGCAGCAGCTCCCCAAGATTAGGCCCTAGATTCACAGTCTAGGTCTCATCCCAGCTCAGCGATATACTGGCAAACTGCCCTCTGGAACCCCACGAGCAACCCTTTTCCATGCCCTCGCTCATCTTAGTGATTCCTCTCACATCGTCCCCTTCTCCCTGCTCCTACATCACTTTCCACAGCCATCCTTGGCTCAAATCAAGTTTGTTGCTTCAATTTAAGACAAAAAAAAAGCCACTCTGTTTCCCCTAAGTGCATTATTGCAGCTTAAACATAAAAAGATATTAGCTCAGGCTGCTATAAGCTATTTTCAAGAAGGCCACACTGGAAATTCCCCTTTTCTGTGCGCTTCCTCCCAAATCCGTTCTGGGTTTTGCACGTCGCTGAGGCGGGTCCGAGATGAAACGCAAACACGGCTGCAGGAGCGAGCGGCTTTGAAGCTGCGGGCGCCCCGGCTTCGCCCCAGGACGCTGACTCAAGCGGGGCTCTTATGCATGCGGCTGCAAATCCACATTAATTGCACTGAAGCGCAGGGAACTAGACACAGCCCATGGCTTTTTTTTTTTTTTTTTTTTTTGCCTTAGTGAAAGAATTTGATTCTTGAAACTCCTCATCCTGAACCAAGCTCCCAAGCAAAAACACCCTCCACTTTTTTAGCTTGTGCTCCCTCACTGGCGGCTCCAGGCCGTTTTTTTGGGCCATCTCCCAGGTACGAGCACAGGGTGCCAGAGGGAGCTCTGCTGCGGCTCGAGACCGTGTCCCTGCTCCAAAACTCTGCCAAAGCCAGTGGCGTCCGGGACAGCCCCGGCACCGGGAGTGCTCATTGGGACCCATCTTGGCTCCCAGCTCCAACCGGAGCACAGGGATCTGTCATCCTTGGCACAAGAAGGGTTAAGGAGACACAGAGATAAACGTGCCTGGAAAATATTGACTTAGCCACATGCACACAAAGCGGGAGGAATTTTGGGAGATAGCTGCATTTTTCTTTTCTTTTTTTACCATGCAAACCCCTCCCTGCTTCCCCTTCCTGCACTGGGAGGTGTTTAGGAGGAACAGCCAGACAACATCAGACCCCCGGCCGGGCTCAAGGGGCGCTCAGACGGAGCGGCTCGGAAGGAGAATCCGGCTCCCACACGGACACCTCGTCCGAAAGAGTTAATATCCCGGGCAGGCCGGGGAATGCAGGATGCTGCACGTGACCTCAGGTGGGGCAGGGCGGAGCGATGATTCACTCTTTTGCTTTTCCTCTTTTCACTTCTTGCTCTTACCTGTCGGCCCGGGCGCTGCACGCGGGCAGGAGCCCGAAGGAATCGCCTCGCCGGCCACGGAGATGCCGAAGAGGCCGGCAGAGAAACTCACCGCAGCAAAACCAACCAGTTGACCCAAAGCGGCACCGTCAGCACCTGGGGACAACTTAGGGCCTGAGAAACCCTGCTGAGAAATCCTGCTTTCCGGGATCCTTTTTTAAGTTATTTTCGTTGTTGTTTTCCATAGTGTTTGGTCCTATTTTATTCTACACTATTGCTCTGTTGAAGGAGAGGGGGATGAGAGCGGCGTGGAGCTGACGGTAGAAGACTCACCAGGCTGGGCCACCCCACAGGAGTCCATGCATGCCCAGGTGTGAGAGGGGTCGTTCCCCATCGTGCAGACGCAGAGAGCAGCAGCTCCCGTAGGATTTGCCTTGTGCCAAGGCCCCGGCTGCTGTTCGGACCTGGGAGCGAACAAGGAGGCGATTCCTCCTCAGCGGAGGACACGTTGGAGCCCCAGGAATTCTGCCAAGCGAGCGGGCAGGCGCAGAGACACGTTCCTATAGCTGTGCATTGAACTCAGGGAGGGAGAAACAGAACATTTGCGTATTTAAAGACTAGGAAATAACTAATTTCTTATTTATTGCCAGTGGCTCGTTCGGCACAGCAGGCTCCCGTATCGGTGTCGGCCGTCACCATGGCTTTCTCTCAGGTGCAGTGTCTGGACGACAGCCACGTCAACTGGAGGTCTAGTGAGTCCAAGCCCGAGTTCTTCTACAGCGAGGAGCAACGCCTTGCCTTGGAGGCACTGGCCTCCCAGGGGCCAGACGCCTTCTACGAGGTCTTGAAGAAAGAGAATATCAGGGACTTCCTCTCCGAGCTGGAGCTGAAGAAGATCCTGGATACGCTTGAGACGTACGACCCCGGCTCTGAATACATCCCACGCCATGGCAGCAGCACGGGGGACAGCGAGGACGACCGCAACAGCCAAGGGGACGAGCAGGACGTGGCCCCATCCCTGGAGTACTGGCCACAGAGATCTGACCGCTCCATTCCCCAGCTGGACCTCGGCTGGCCCGAGACCATCGCCTACCGCGGCGTCACCCGCGCCACCGTGTACATGCAGCCGCCCATCGAGGGGCAAGCTCACATCAAGGAGGTGGTGAGGAAGATGATCTGCCAGGCGCAGAAGGTGAGGAGCTCCTTGCGTGCTGGGGTGGGAGTTGATCCGAGCTGTTCTGCCAAACTCAGGTCCTAAAGTTTCACCCGGCTAAGTAATACGCGTCCTCTGGGAACATCTGCCCAAGCAAAGGCATCGGGGTAAATCATTCTGTGTCCCCTGTTAACTCAGAGTAATCAATAATCTGGGTTTTTGCTGAAGAGGTGTTGTTAGCCTGGTCTAATACGGCCTGGGAACAGCACGACCTTCCCGTGATTGTCCCTAGTCCCGGGTGCCCCCATCATTATTCCAGAGCACAGTGTAACTGCGGGTAGCAACAGCGGGCAGCAAAGCTCAGCCCTAGAGCAAGGCCATGGAAGCCGCTGCTCCTGCGATGACTTTTACGGGAGTTAAATCTGCCCCGCAGTTGCCGTGTTGCTCCAAGGGAGCTCGCAGGAGAACCACAGCTAACGGCTGTCCGTCTTCTCCAGGCTGGGATTAGGAGACTGCTCCTCACCGTGGCAGCAAGCCAAGGAGCAGAGAGCTGGGCAAGATGAGCGGTCACGTCAGATTGGTGTCATGGCATGAGGCGAGGGAAAGGTGCGGAGCAGATAGGGACTATTGAAGGCCAGCCGTGGTGGGGAAAGACTGCTGGTATTCCCCAGTGCCAGCCAGGAACGGGACAAGGATCTGGCATCTGCTGGGTTCACGGTTGCTTGATGGCCTCAGCTTCCCCTGTCAGTAAGCTGAGGACATACAAAGTGCTCGGCCCGGTTCGGGAGGGCATTAGAATTTGTCCTTTCCTCATAAAAACTCCCTGTTCGATTCCTGGAGAAATTCGGCCATGAGGGAGGGAGCATCCCTTCCATCTCCACGAGCCTTTCTGTCACAGGGCAAGCACTGGCACTCACAGAGAGCCTTGGATGCTGGCGGGAAAGGCGAGAAGCCTTTATCCAGCTCAGGTTATATCCGGAGTCTCTCCAAGATGCGGTAGCCAGAGGGCCGTGTATTTGAATGCGCATGGCAGGTTCCCGAGGGGATCTCCAAACATGCCCCAACACGGGCTGGCAGGGACGGACGTGGGAGATGGCTCTGCGCTGAGGCAGGAGCTGTCGTTAGGTACCAGCCACCGCTTCCCTTCTCTCCTGCAATCCTTACCTGGGCTGCTTCCCACTCCCAAAGGATTTGCTCTAGGCAGCTTTCATGCTATGTGGACACAGAGGGCTGATTCTTGCAAAGGACTGAGCTGGCGGGGTGCAGCATGGGGAGAACTTTCCCATTACTAAGAATGCCTCATCCTCGGGTCTTTCCAGCTGCCTCCGACCAGGTTTGCAGCTCCTGCCTGGCTTTGCCTACTCATTGCTTCCCGCCTGCCCCCACACAAACAGCATCTCCTGACTCATCCCTTCTTCCGTCGTCCTCCTCCTGCTCCGTGGAGCCAGGCGGCTGAGTCAGGCAGCTGCCGGCCTGGGTGCCTCCACCATCCCCACCTCCGCTGGGATCCTCTCCAAGCCTCCTGGATGCGCCCGTGGCCAACGCTGCTGTTCTGCTCACGTGGGACTGGGGAGCGGGGGGAAATCCATCAGCAGCTCCATAACATTTAGTTGCCTTGGAGTGAATTGGCACGGCACGGAGCCTACTTGCAGAGACAGCGAGGGCAGGAAATAGGTTAAGGTTGTTGAAGAGGAGCCTGGAAAGCTAAGAAACATGGGTGACAGCTCTGCCACGTGTCTTCGGTGATTTGAGCAAGTCTTTGCGTTGCTTTAGAAAATGTAAGGGAGTGAAACACTCCAGCCGGGTGCTTGCAGGAGTTATTAGAGTTGGACAAGGGGGCTCTTCCAGGCCTTTTCCAGCCTGTGGTCTGGAGTTAATAAGCAGGAGTTATTAGGGTTGGACAAGGGGGCTCTTCCAGGCCTTCCATCCTGTATATGAGGACCCAGGTTACCTGCAATCACACGGCAGCTGAGCCAAGGTAACTGCTGGTGTACACGCTCCTGCTCGTGGGATGCTCAGGTAGGACTTCCCCTACACCTTGAGGTTCTCATGGCAGCTTGGAGGTGACCCTGTTGGGCTGAAGCAGCCAAGGGAGCGCAGGGAGGGCCAGGTCCGCTGACACCACGTCAGATGCCAGGCCACAGCAGGGCCATCTCACGTGCCATCCTTCCTGGCCGGCCCCTTGGGCCGTCCTCTGGAGATACCTGGTCTCACCTTTAGCTCCTGGGCCCCGGTTTGGTGAGAGGAGCCTTTCAGCAGTTCCCGTGCAGGATATGCTCCCACCTGCCCAGCCGCCCTCTCCGCATGCTAGTGCTTCTCCTAATAGCCAGGTACTTTTTATCATGGGGATCATTTGGTGAGCAAAAAAGGGAAAAAATGTGCTACTAGACACTTTAGCCATATCATCTCAAATGTCCCCTGATGTCCAGCCCCAGCTCGGCTGCCTCCTGTCCCGTCATGGGAAGCAGTAATGCTCCTCCTTGACCGACGGAGCACAGGTTGGGAAGAGCAGGGGCTCTCCTGCTTTCGGCATTGCATCCTGCACATTGACTCTTGCTCCCAGAGGCTGCTGAGGACATGTGGTCTGAAAATACTCTCAGACACCAAGCACTGAAGCAAACACAAGCGTTGTTATGTCGCAGGGAGGAAAGCAAAGTCCACGCACCGGGCTGAGGAAAGTTCAGAGCCCGGGAGAGCGCGGAGGCGACGCGGCGGCTCAGAAATGGTTTGCATGAGGAAGCCGAGAGTTAAGGCCCCTTTATGGTGATGATGCACATACGCACTTGCAGGTACACGGCTAAACACTGCTAAGAGCCTGCAATTTATTTTGGGAAGTGGCAAATCCAGGCGAGCTGGAGCAAAGGATGCAAATGACCCCTTCATCTTTCTGGGGAAAAAAAAAAATGTGAGATGAGAGACATAAGATCCTTGTAGCCACGTCCCTGCTCTCCCAGGGACTTGGTGAATCCCCCTTTTCTCCACCTGTAGCACAGAGGTAGTCAGAGATGAGATGTCCAGGAAGGTTTCAGGTTAGAGAGTTCCCCAGGGCCTGGGCTGAGGGAATTTGGTCCCCCAACCTCTATCTGGCTCAGTCTGACCAGAAAGTAGAACAGACCGAAAACTGGGTCCTAGGCTAAAAGCCAGCAGAGACACTAGCGAGTCTGACCTCTTCTCTCCCAGTCTGGATTTGAGGTTCCAGGTTGAGATTGCGGTGATATAATTAACCGTAGCAACTTCCAGCAAGGGTTGAGAGGCCCTATTAATTACTGTTTACAAAACCTTCTGCCATTCCTGGATGAAAGGGTCAACAGGAGAGAGCAATTATTAATGTAACTTGTCCCACCTCTCCCCAACATGTTTCCTCTAATTGCGCGTTGGTGCCTGCCTAATTTATTAAATGCACACGTGGTGTGCCCCAAAAGTTGGTATCTGATGAGTCAGAGTGACTTAATAAAGAGCTGCAATTTCCTCTATAAAACAAGATCCTGCAGCTTATGCACCCATAAGCAGCACAGGAGGATCCCAAACTCATTTGCTCAGTGTCGCAGAGGATGCAACAGTCACTGCTCATGGGGGTCTCGGCATCCCCTGCATCCCTGCGCTGTGGTCCCCTCTGCTCCTCACTGCTTTGTGCATCCTCCACACCTAGCAAATCTCAGCTGCTCCTGCAACTCTGGGAAGAAAACTGTCACCCACCAGGATGCTGGGATCACCAGGCTGTACATCCCGGCTCCGTCTTCTCCGCAACGGCATTCTTTGGCCAAATGGCAAAGATCCACGGTGAGGGATGGCGAGGATTCCTGGATGACGCTGTGGCAAGGTGCGTTGGGAAGAGGCCTGACTCTCCTGCTGCCTGGATCTCACACCATCATTTTCTCCAAATACAGAGCGAGCGCACGGGGCTCTGCAAGAGGTGACGAAGGACAAGCTCTGCCACGCTTGCTCTGGAGAGCAGGGATGCCAGGACTTTGCTCCAGACACTCCCATTCCCTGGGAAGGGAAGTAAATAGCACAGAGGATTGCATTTCTCCGAAGCACACAGCCCTCCATTCTTTGCAGATTAAATCCTGCACCTGAGTTTTGGCCCTGACTCAGCCGTTTTCAGCCAGGGTTCAGTGAGGGGCAGCCAGGAGCGCCGCTTACCCTGGGGATCGGGAGCGATGCCAGGGATGTCGTTCCGTGCTAGAGCTGTGTGCTGACACGGTGACAAAGGTGACAAACTGCCTGTCCAGCAGGCCAGACACAGCGGGGAGGGAAGCAAAGCCTTGCCAAAAATCCCAAGGAAAACTCCCTCGGGATAGCTACAGATTCGGAGGGGGTCATTTCACGTTTATTTTTTCTTCAAAGCTTTTGCCCCACTAAGAACTTCCGTGCAGTATCGTTGCTTTGCCCACAGAGCATTCCTTCCATCGGAAGCCTTGCAATTAACGTCCAGCTATTGCAATTAACGTCCAGCTATGCAGCTGATGACTCCTGCCATCCCCATTTTATAAATCCTCAGTGTCCGCTTGGAGAAAATGGGACATGTAGATCAAGGGACGTGACCACAGCGCATCCGTGTCAGCAATGGGAGCAAAACTCCGTCCACCAACGTGATCTGCTCCGGTAGCTCCAGCCAGGGAGACACAACGTCCTGGGTCCCGGTTCAGATGTCCTTCACAGATGTCCTTACAGCAGAGAGAGAAGTTGCTCCTGAATTTCCTGCTGCGAATGAAAACAGGAACCAAGCCCTGAATTCCAAAATTCGCTTTGAACTTGTCTCACTTCACATCTTCAGTGAGATGATTGCAGGCTTTGCTGGCCCCCCAGACCAGTACAAGCCTGATGCAATGAGGGCATCTATTTTCCTGCCTCAGCTTCCCTGTCAGGAAGTTGAGGACATGAAAAGTGCTCAGCCAGGTTCGGGAGGGCATAAGAATTTGTCCTTTCATCATAAAAACTGCTGAAAAGCTTTCAGGTGATGACAGATGCTAATCCAGTTAAAAGGTACCTAGAAGATGCTCCTTTTTTATAAACCTGTTCTTCAAGAAGAGAAGCGCGACCTCCAGCCACGAATCTGCCTTGGCTGCTGGGGTGCAGAGCCAGGAGATGAGCCGAGCTCAGGGCTGTCACCTGGGAGGGGACAGGACCCTGTCCCACTCTCCCTCATTAGCACTGCAGGCTAATGGAGAGGGACACAGGCAGAGCTTTGGTGAAAGCTTTAGCAAAGCTTGTTTTTGCTGAAAGCTTTCAGTGAAAAGGAGTCAGCAAGCAAAGCACGCAGCAAGCCTGGGGGCTGCTCGTCCTGTCTGGCCTTGCACCAAGGAGCCTGTTGGTGCATCTGCAAAGCCTCAGCGCAGCACGAGGGGATCCCTGGGGATCCTCATCCTTGTTTCCTCGGCTCGGCACAGCTGGCGTTGGGATTGCTCTCCTCCCCGGCATGGGCAGAGCTCTGGCTGGGACAGGATTCGAGCATCCCTGAGCAGCATCAAATCCCCCCTCTCACCCAGCTCGTGCACCAGCACCTGCAAGGAGAGGCAGGATGAGCTGGCCGGGCGAGCGAGTTCGAGGAGGCGCAGACGGGAGGAGCAGCGCAGACTCCGGGCACAGTCTGAGTCCTCGGCCCTTCGGAAAGGAAGGGAAGAGCCGGATGTGTCACAGAGCCCTTCCTAATTAGAGCTCGCCACCTCCTTCCCAGGGCTCCTACGGCACAGAAATAATTAAAAGGCAGCTCGGTGCTTTGACATCCCTGGATTCTGGGTGTGCGAAGGCCAGGCATCGCTCCCGCGGGAAGAGTGTCTGTGACGTCTCCCTGCAATGTCCCAAGCAGAGAGGCCAAGGACCACGGGGATGCAAAGAGAAGGCTCCTCTCGCCCTGGTCACGGCACCACCTCTGGAATCACTGCAGAAACGGAGGCATCGAGGGGTTTCCAAGCCCTGGCCACAGCATTGAAGTGCGGCGGAAGCAGCATCCGAAGCAGCCTGGGGGCTCCGAGCAGCAGGAGGACCAGGCAGCACCGTGCGGCCGAGCCGGAGAGACGCGGGCAGCCGGGCACGGCCTCCCCGGTGGCAGGAACGCCAGCACTGCTCGTAGTTGAGCACGAGCCAAGCAGCAACGCTCCTAAATCAACAGCGTGGATTTAAACAAACGGCCGGTTGTGATCGCTGCAACCGGCTGCTTCCAAGCAACCCCGTCAACTTGCAGGCAAGCTGGTTTCCAAAGAGGAATTCAAAGTCACATCTGCTCCTGGATGTGCCTCGGGGGTGTCCTGAGACTTTTTACCAAGCTTAGAGCTGCTTTTAATGCTCGTTTGTAGGGATTCTCTGAACACAAGAGTGCAAGAGATCCCCAGGGATGGCTGACGGGGGATCTGGCCCATGCAGCTTGGCACAGCACTGGAGCAGCAAGGAATGATTTCTCTCCCGAATTCCCCTTTAGAGGAGATGGGAGCATTAACTCTAGCAAAGGCTGGCAAAGCTTCTCAAGCAGAAACAGAACTCAGAAACTTATGGTGCTTGGAAAAGCAAGAACATTACACCTGCCCCCCCAGAATCAGATTTTCAAAAATGCACTCAGAAATGCAAAGCTATGAAGCACAGGAAGGTTCGTTAGCCAAAATCCCAACCACTTCCTAGCAGCGACCCCGGTTTGGGGCCTCTGCTCCGTGGGGCTTCACGCCGGGTCCCGCGTGTCCCCATGGAGGCTCAGCCGTTCGCAGGGGACAGGACCCGGCGGGCCGGCCGCGGGCGCGAGGACAGCAGGGTGCTTCGGATGTGGCACTGACTCATCCCCGGCTGTTTTCACAGCTACGTGTGCACTGCCCTTAGGGTCAAGGCAACAGATTTTACTGCAAGATCAAAGGATCTCGTTGGCGTGGCAGGTTTTGTCACTGGAGGCAGAAATGCACATAGGGACCGGGCACTGCAGCCCAGTCTCACCTCTGCTGGCTTCTCTGTCAACATTTTGGGAAGCGCTGATGAGGCCTGGAGGAAATTTCACAGGATCAGAGCTCAAAACATCAAGACCCAGGTCTGATGCCCTAGGAAGGGCGTGCTTCGCTTCAGTTCTGTACAGACCAGGGCTGAGATGCTCTTTCCACTCACCTCTTCTCCTTTCTGCAGGTCATCGCAGTGGTCATGGACATGTTCACCGACGTGGACATCTTCAAGGACCTCCTGGACGCGGGCTTCAAGAGGAAAGTGGGAGTCTACATCATTCTGGATGAGACCAACGTGAAGCACTTCCTCCAGATGTGCGAGCGAGCCCAGATGCACACCGGGCACTTGAAGGTAAGGCTGGCGCGAGGGGTTCGGGGCCACGTACCCTCCTCTAACTCAGAAGAGGGGCAGACGTGGGGCCTGAGCCCCTCCCATCTTTTGGGGATCCCTGTCCCAAGACTTTAGACCTTCCAGCTCTCTCTGCGGATCACTCATACATCTGCATTGGCTCTCCACATCCATGGAAATGGGTCTCCTGGCCTCAGGGGGTTGGTGGCAGCTGGTCTGAGGGACCTTGTTTGTTAATCTGCTAATTACCTGCTTTGTGCAAGGCTGGAATGGGCCGGGGGCCTAACACAAGCCCCTTGGGAAGGGATAGCCCGGAAAGCTGGGGCAGCAACTGGAGATCAAGGACCTGAGGGAGGCATCAAGGAAAGGGAGGCAGGCGACGGGCATCACATCCAGGGGAGCCTTCGGCTCTGCTGCTCCCCCGGGATCATCTACGAACCATCAGCCTATGAGGAGGCTCCTGAAACATGGACTGGGCAAAAACCCCTGCCCCTCCTCGAGCCTCCTTGGCTGCAAGACGAGGAGCCGCTCGTCCCCTGTCCTGCGGAAAGCCCCGCTGGAAAGGCCGGGGGATAGCGCGGTGTCACCTCCCTCGGCGCGGCCGGGCCGGCGGCGCCGCGCGGCTGAGGATGTGCCGGCACACGCCGCGTTTACCCGCGCCCGGAGCGGCCGCACGTGACGCGCCGCCGCACGGAGCCTGTTTTGGAGCAGGAAAGGGAAAACAGCCCGGGGAACGCCTGGCAACGGCGCCCGGCTCGCCCCGTCCGAAGTATCCCGGAGACAGAGGCCCCCAGTTTGGGATGGGGAAGAGCTCAGTACCTTCCCCTCTGCTCCGCATGTTGCCCTGATCCTTAAGAAATAACCAGGAGCTGCAGCCCTGGGAAAGCAGAGGGAGACAAAGGGCAGGAGAGCAGGGAAGGGAAGCGCCGCTTTCCCAGGAGCACAGGAAGCTCCCAGCCCATCCTCATCCCAACAGCAAGACGGAGCCGGCTCCCCGCTGGGCGTTAACGCTCCTATCAGCGGCCCAGGGTGCAAACAGCGGGAGGAATTCGGCAGTTTCACTTTTAGGCCTGCAGACACCTCTCCTTCCCGGCTGCGCTGCGCCCGCCGGCTCCGAGCGCCTCTGCCGCTCCTCTCGCTCGGCAAATACGATGCGTCTTCCCCTGATGTCACCCAGCCGCACGGCGCTGGCTGCCAAATGACTCGCGGGGAGGTCCGTGTCTGGACAAGCTCTCCGAATTTGCTTATGGTGAGGCAAACGCGAGGCCGGGCAGGAACACGTACGAGCCACGTCACGGCAATGCCAACGCGGCGCTGGATGGCGGCGGGTCGGGACGCAGCGCGGATCCCGGGGACACGCGGCCGGGTCGGGACTGCGGATCTTGCCCGGATTCCCGGCCCTGCACTTCGCATCTTCCCCCAGCCAGACTCCAGCCAGCCTTGATTGCTGCTCCCAACCACTAAAATAGAGCCCCACTTCCCCGCACATCCAAACTCCCCCCAAATCCTGCTCTCTTCCAGACTGCTGCCACTCCGAGACCTGAAAAGCCAGAGCTGATGCATGTCAGTGTTTTAATGGATGGGGAGCCTGGTGGCAGGACTGGAAAAGCAGGAGAGCATCTGCAGAGCTCGGCACATCTCTCAAAGTTGTGATTTGCTGCATGTTGCTCGTCACAGGCCATTGCTGGACTGGTATTGAGCTGGGCAGGAGAGTGAGGAAACTAGGGCAGTGCCTGGGAGCTGCTTCGTAAGCCGGGAGATGCTAACGAAACGCGTGTCGTTATCTCGGTGTCTAAGAGGCAGGCCCTATGGGCTCTGCAATTAGCACGCCAGCTTGGGCAACACGGGCGCTTCGTTAAGCAAGGGCGAGTGTTGGGAGAGTGATTCACGCGGCAGAGCGGCTCCCGGCTCGGCAAGGAGCCAGCGAGCCGGGCGCGCGCCGGCTCCGCGCTCCGGCACGATTAAACAGGCAGGTCTTGCCTAAGAGAGGCGATACACGGGGAGCAGGGCGAAGGCAGGAGGCTCTTTGCTCCCGTGGGTGGTTCCTGGGAAAAGCTCCTGCCGGGGTGAAGGGTTTCAGCTCGCACCGGGCAGGGAGAACAAGGGGCTACGAGGAGAGGACATGGAAACGTGCAAAGGGCAGAGCTCGGAACCTGGAAATCCAGCCCGGAGAGCCCTTCCTGCCTGTGCATTTCCCCGGCAGCGGCTCTCGTTCCCGTCCCATCCGCAGTGGGAAGCTGAGGCCCTGCCAGCTCCCCAGGCAAACGGCATCACGTGTAGAGATGGGCTGGTCACAGCCTGGAGAGCAGAGGAGACCCCAGCAAAGCAGACGAGCAGGGGATGAACTCAGGAAGATTTTGTGGGGGAGAAAAAGGTACTTTTGATGACTTTTAAGCTGGGGAAAGGGGAGGAGAGGTCCCTATGACCAGCTTAGAATACCACTAACATTCACCAGCAGAAACAGGAGGAATGAAGGTGCTCTCCTAAGAAAATATTCTCTCCCCACATTCGCTCAGTGAGCAAAGCAATTTGCAGGGGTGTAAAGCTGTGTTTGTACCCCGCTTTTGGAGGAGAAGCACAGAGGAATGGGACAGGCTAAGAGCCACATGGCTGTTTTTGCAGAACCGAGGATGCCCAAACCAGCTTCCCCAAGGATGAATCTTCCCTCCCTGTTTGGCCCAGGTGGGACACAGGCTGTCACCAAATGGGACGAAACTCTGGCAAAACCCGCTCCCAGGCTGCCTGCTGCCCAGGGAGCTGCCGGAGCACGGTCCCTTTGGCCATGTCCCCAGGTTTCATCACCCAAGGGGTTGCACCACTTCTCCCTCCACCCAGCAGTGCAGAAACTCACGGTGAGGAGCAGAGCAGAGCCAGGCTGAGGAACAAGGCCACTGTCACCAGGTTTGCAGGGCACCTTCACGTGATCTGGCACCGGAGAGGGGCGAGGAATCACCACTCTCACGGTGTGTTTACCTCGAGATGGAACGCGGTTGGCGGTGTTATCGCAGGCCGGCTACCCGCACATGCTGGCAACAGCGGGTTCAAGAGGTAGAAAACACTGCTCAGCACGTGGGAAAGCAGGAAATTCTTGAAGCCGAGTCCCCGAGTTGCTGTGTGGCCTTGGGCAAGTGATTTTATCTGCCCATTGCTGAGGCCTCTGCAGAGCGGGCTCCTGCTTTGGAGAGGTTGGGGAATCATCCACCGGAGCTTTGGCGCATGAAGCACCAATTTCCAAAGCAACATTCGGCCCCAGGTGTTTTATTTAGGGTAGGAGCCAAAGTCAGCTCCAACCAGAGCAAAAACATGGTAACACCCTTGAGCACAAGGCCATGGAGGGCTGTCAGCTGGATTTGTGCTCGGAGAAGCACTGGGAAGGAGGGGTTGGAGGGCACAGCCAAGGCTGCACGAGGCTCCAGCAGCACCTGGTGCCTTGCACGGTCCCAGGCCTCTCCGCTCACTGCCCCGGCTTTGCTTTGCAGAACCTCAGAGTCCGAAGCACCGGGGGAACCGAATTTTACACTCGCTCGGCCACGAAGTTCAAAGGGGTCTTGGCGCAGAAGTTCATGTTCGTGGACGGTGACCGCGCCATGTGCGGATCCTACAGGTAACCGGCAGGGTCTGCTGACCCAGGCGACACCTTGCAAGGCCCTGTAGGGACTTGGCACAAGAGCCAACGGGCTCAGCAGCACCCCCAGTAGGACTAGATCCCTGTCCAAGGCACCCAACGTGCTCCTCAAGCGGCCGTGGTGACACCGCTCTGCTGAGCGAGGACACAACCAAAGCGTGGCCAGGGCCAGCTCTGACTCTCACCTCACTTTTTCCACATAAACTCCAGCTGTCCAAATGCCTTTCAGACATGCCCAACTGAAAGCTTGCCTTGGGAGAACAGATCCACCTCAGGGAATTCTTCCCTCTCTCAAAGAGGAGTTCCACTGAGGAGGTGAAAGTGAAACTTTTCCACTTACTGGCCACAGCAATAGCACAGCGGTTACAAACCTGTTTACAAACCCCACATATAAACAACCTGCCCTTTCCGTTTGTTGCTTATCGAAAGTGGCCAGCACTGAAATGAAAAGCTAACTGACCCATGGCAGACACCTTCCACTTATATTTCAAGCACAAATGTCCTCAAGACTCCAACTTTTTCGTGCCAATTCGGGATGAGAGCTTCCTTTGCCAAAATCTCCATATTATTACTTTTTATAGCAAAACCGTATCCTTCCCGGCACTGTTAAATTCCCTGGGGAAAGCTGGGCTTGCAGAGGGCTGTATTTACCAACAAACCCTCAGACAGTTTGCAACATTTTCCCATTGCAGCTTCACCTGGTCTGCGGCAAGGACGGACAGGAACGTCATCACGGTCCTTTCAGGCCAAGTGGTGGAGGCGTTCGACAAGCAGTTCCAAGAGCTGTACCTCATGTCCAGAGGGGTGAGCCTCAAGTCCATCTCCATGGGCCAGGAGCCAGAACCGGAGCCCGTGACGCTGCCCTCCGTGGTGCCCGTGACACCAGCCAACGCCGTGGTGAAGAAGCTGATCAACCCTAAATACGCCCTGGTCAAGGCCAAGAGCGCAGACCAGATCAGCAAGACTTCTTCCGAGAACCAGGACAAAAACCAGAAGACGGAGAAAGGCAAAGCCCTTCCCGAGGGCCACGTAGGGGACAAGCACGGCGACATGGCAGATCTCTCCCTGCTTATCCACCCCGGCCTCCTGAACTTGGAGAAAGCCAACATGTTCGACTACCTGCCCACCTGGGTCGAGCCCGACCCCGAGCCCGGGAGCGAGGTCTTGGGCTACATCAACATTATTGACCCCAAGATAAAGAACGTGAAGCTCTCGCAGATGAACCGCATCAAAGTCTGCGACGTCTCCCAAGCCAGCGCTCAGCACAGGCAGATGCTGAAGAACAGAGAGCTGGAAATGAAGAAGAATGCAGAGCAAGAGCCATCTCCAGTATCCCCATGCCCAAGACAGGCCTCTCAGACCCCTGCAGAAGCTCCTACGATGCCTGCTGCCAGCCCCACTGAGAGCACCGGCTGGAAAACGAAGAAAATGGAAACTTCTGCACTTTCCCCTTTGAACCATCCTTTGAAGCAGCCTAACGAGATGCTCGAGGAAATTAAACCCCCAGTTCCAAAGCCAAGAACCATCCCGGTGGGAATGAGCAGAGCCAGTGCTCCCTGCAACAGCAGTGCTGGCCTGGAAGGGGACACGCAGCAGCCCCGTGCAGCCGAGCAAGCAAATGTAAAGGAGGAACCACACGAGGAGCCCAGGAAGGCTTCGACAGAGACGAGTCCCCAGCAGCCGGAGCATCCGTCAGCAGGACCGCAGGACAGGGGACCTGCCTGTGCCCACAACGGGCTGGGTGAGGAGGAGGAGGAAGAGGAGGAGTACATAACACTCAGCGACCAGGAGAGCTGCTCCAGCAGCTCTGCCGACCACAGCTACCGCCGCTCCAACGCCTCCTCCATCTCCGACGAGTACTTCGAGGTGAGGGATCGCTACGGGCCGCTCCGGAGAACTAACTCCGACGTCACCCACAACGGGGAGATCCTGCCGATCCAGAGGAAACTGAGCGATCCCCACATCAGCAGGGGCACCTTCCTCAGCCCCCTGGGGAACCTGCCGGCTCTGAAGCACGTGAGGGCAGAGGACATGGTGAAGAGGAGGAGCAACGCCGTGGAGATTCGGTGCGTGCTGCCCCGCGCTGTCCTCGACGGCAACAGCTCCTACCCTGGCAGTGTCCCACAGGTAGGTTTGTTTGCTATAACCTCCCTTGCCGTGTTTCTCCATGCTGCAAGCTGGCATCACGTCGCTGCTTCTGCTGGCCTTGGTCTCTTGTCCCAGATGCCGTGCTCAGGCGCTCCGCATGGGAGAACACGGTACACACTGTAATTGCAGGAGCCACCCAAGAGGTGCTCTTGGCCAGAAAGACGCTGGCCACACCAAGAGGTCTCAGGTGTCAGGAGTGGTGGTTGAAAGGCAGGTCTTCTGCAATGACAGTGTGATGCAAAGCCAGCGGGAAGCAGGGGAGAGTTGTGCCCTAAGCCGCTCCGCAGGCTCCATCCCAAAGCCAGGGAGCATTAGGGCCATGGCATCATGCGCAAGTGGGGGATGGACCATATGTGCAGGCGTGTCCTCATGCAGGCTTGTTTACCAACTCGTTATAAAGGTGATTAGCATCAAAGTAAAACACCCGGGCACATAATTACGTAGAGCAACGCAGCAGAGAAACAGGGATGGCAGCATCAGCCGGAGAACGCCAGAGTCAGCAGCGTCCCGTGAGCACCGGCAGAGCCGCTGACCCTGCGCGGCCGCTCGCAGCGGGGTGGAGGCATCGTCCCATCCAGGCATGGCAAAGGCAGGGACTAGCCCCACTTCTAAGCCCTGGGGACGCTTGCAGCACTCCCAAGGACTCTGCATCCTGAAAGCTCCTTTTGGGACACTTAACCACCCAAGACCAAAGCAGCAGCACAGGGGGACATCAGCAAAGCCACCCAGGTTACCCCTGCCGAGCAGCTGGCTCCCACCTAATCCATTTAGAAGGACATGGAGGCAGGAGCCAGCTCTTATTACTGGCTCATCAAAAAGATCTCCTGGCGCCAGGCGGAGCCGTGCAGAGCGAGGAGCACCGGGCGCTTTGAAGTGCTGCTCCAGCAGCCCGTGACAGCTCCGCGGGTGCCACGTTGTTCAAAGCGGCCAAGTATGTTTGTGCTCTTGCAATAACTTGCTCGAGACTTTTTATGAAAGGCAGATAATTGACATGCCGTCAGAGTTAGGAAAGCAAGCTCTCAGCTGATAGAAATGTGCAGAGAGTCAGTTCTCCCACATGTAATAACAATAAGCCAAAGCAATCCTTGATTCATCCTAGAGGCACCTTTAATCTAACGCGAGTTACGAGAACAGTAACAGTACCAGAAAGATGACCCACAAGTGAACAAAATCCTTTCTTAGGAGCTTCTGCAGCTTTGCACATTAAATAATCCATCAGAATCTGCCTCCTAGAGCTGAACCAGCCTCTGGAGTCTGGATTTCAATCTGTACATCACACTGGAAATTGCTATTCTTGCTCTCATTTGGATAGTCCCCATTCCTCCCACCATGAAACATTTCCATTTTGGGTCCACGTTTCATATGAAGAGCTGCTGCTCTTGAGCACAGGTCCATAACATTTAGCCCAAAATAGAGGCTTAGGCTCACTCAGGGCAAACAGGACATTTCTCATCACATTGAAAATACAACACTCAGTTATTAGTGCAACATCTCATTGCCTGAATATATACGACCCTGTTCACACCAAGCTACGTCAGTAATAGAGGTCAGGAGCCCAAGCTGATGCACAACATGCACAAGGGAAAAACACCAGGAACAGGTGCCTTACCTGGGTACAGGATCCTGCTGATCATCCCTGGCATGATGATGATGAACAAGCAAATACAGGCTTAGGCTCACTCAGGACAAACAGGACGTTTCTCATCACATTGAAAACACGACACTCAGTTATTAGTGCAGCATCTCATTGCCTGAATATACACGACCCTGCTCACACCAAGCTACGTCAATAATAGAGGACAGAAGCCTGAGCTGATGCACAACATGCACAAGGAAAAAACACCAGGAGCAGGTGCCTTACCTGGGTACAGGATCCTGCTGATCATCCCTGGCATGATGATGATGAACAAGGGCAGCATTTTCAGGTAGCTGGCCAGGATGGAGCCGGCTTTGGCATGGTTCAGGCTCTTTGCAGAGAGGGACCTCTGAACTATGACCTGTGGGGAGCAGGGAAGGAGGTTGAGCAGCCACCAACGTGTGCAATTTAATGTCACCCTCATCCCCACCAAACAGCATCCCAGACATCTCCATCACTGCAGCCATTGGGCACTGGTGCCAAACAGCTCCCTGGTAGCCCATAGGTTTTCTGCAGACCAGGAGCTGGTTTGTGTTATTCCATTATACCATGAAGGCCCAGTGCAGCCACAGGCTGCTGCAATGAGACTCACTGGAGATGGTGACCACCAGTAGGAGATGTCCTTGTCATACAGAGACCCAGTGCCTCAGGGTTCCCCCTCTTGTGAGCAAGGACAGGAGCTGAGGTCTCCACTGAGAGCAAGCAAGCTGGGACAGGACAACGGGGAGCTGCTCAGCTTGGGTGAGCACAAGCAGTGCCAAGGTAATGTTAGCACAAGGCATGGCTCCCAGACAGCAGCTGAGGTCTCCACTGAGAGCAAGTAAGCTGGGACAGAAGGACAACAGGGAGCTGCTCAGCTTGGGGGAGCACAAGCAGTGCCAAGGTAATGTTAGCACAAGGCATGGCTCCCTGCACTGCAAATTCCCGTGCATGGGCTAGAGTGGGGTGGTCCTTCCCTTCAGAGGGACAAATTTTCCATCTCCATGATTTCCCCCTCTTGCTCCTTTACTGGGTCTGTCATAGGAACCTGTTGCCTCCCTAGACAAGTGCCCAGCAATGAAACGAATACCAAATCTCCTCTCCTCCTACCACAGAAAAACCCTTCACCTACACTGCTCAAAGGATTGCACCTCGGAATACCAAATCTCCTCTCCTACCACAGAAAAACCCTTGACCTACACTGCTCAAAGGATTGCACCTCAAAGGCCTGGCCAAGCTTAATTCATCCATAACACAGCCAGGTCTTGGGTTTTGAGACCCTCTCTCTTAAATAAGCAATATCCATAGAAATGGTGACACTAAAACAGCTCAGACTCTCCCCAAGTGCTCAGCACCAAGGAGGATTCATCCACTCTTGAGAATCATAAAATCATTTTGGTTGGAAAAGACCTTCAAGATCACTGAGTGCAACCACAAACCCTTCGACACCATGCCTGTCAAACCTTGTCCTTAAGCACCTCATCTACATCTTTCTTAACACTGCCAGAGACGGTGACTCCATCACTCCCCTGGGCAGCCTGTTTCAATGTTTTACTACTCTTTCCGTGCAGAAATTCCTCCTAATGGCTAACCTGAAATTCTTCCTAATGTCTAACTCTCACTCATGCCGCTGATGGGCAGGTGGGACTTGGAGCCCAATGTCAGGGCTGGATGCAGGGAGAAGCCAGAGCTTAGCCTCTGTCCTGCTCCCCAGGGCAAGAGCTGCAGCACATGGGACCTAGATGGGAGTGGATCTAAATCACCCTTAGTCTTCCCTCCTTAGAAGACATTTTAGGCCTTAGCACTATTCTTAGCCAGTCAAGTTAAACTGATGCAATCAATCCCTTTTACTCCAGCGTTACCCTGGGCTAAACTGCTTCAGCGCATCCCTCCTGGTCAAAACAACAGGTTCTGCCCTGCAGGAGCCTCCTAGGGTCCCCCCGGCAGCAGAACCAAGGCGGGTTTGCACTGCCTGCTCCGCAGCCTCCACTGCCCCAGCTAGTCCTGCTGTCAGCACCTGAGCTTGCTAGATGAAATCGCACTGGAGCGGGTCTGCGTGGAGAGCAATGACACCTCCAGAGCGCCGTGCAGGCACACCCAAGGAGGGCGATAAATATCTGGTGACCACAGCCATGTGCAAGGCTTCTCCCAGTCCAGAATTAAGATTAATGGAGCTCAGACCCGATCCAAACATCTCTCACTCCAGTAATCAGAGCCAGCCCACGCAGCACTAAACTGTCGCAGCTCACGCTTACCTCCAGGTCCCACCTTCCTCTCCCACTGCTACATCCTTTGATCTAACCTTGCTAGCTTAGGTCCTGTAGGCTGGGTCTGGATGACTGAATGCTCTTTTGTCCTGAAATTGAGCAGCTGATGATCAACACAGGTGTTCGGGTGGCTGCTTGAAGAGAAAATGTTGAGATACTGCTGAGTCCTTGGTTCTGCATCACCAGGAGGGCCTGGTTTGGCTTGGGGCATCCTCAGGCTGCTCAGGAAGAGGCCGAGGGGCTGCACTGCAGAGCACGGGGCACTGCCACGGCCTGTGCTCTGCCCTCAAACGCTGCTCCGCAGGGCGCAGCGGCTCCACAGCGGTGTCAGCAGGTGACAAACACCCTGGGCAGCCTCAGCGCACAGTAACTTGACCAGCTCTCCCAACTACCCTGCGTGAAGCAAAGCCCGAAATCAGGGGGAAAGATCTTCTCTGCCAGAGAAGTCATGAGAGCCACAACAGCCCGGGCTTGAGTCCTTCTGCTTTGAGCTGCCACCAGCCTTAGGAGAATGAGGGGCTGTGTGGCCACATAGAGGAGGGACTAATCCATGACATACAAATCCTTGGCGCAGAAATTTCAAGGAGTGTCCATACAGGGGGATTAGTGTCTGTATAACAACAGTAGGTCATCTTTATTTATTTATCTCTTTTCCTCCCTCTCCATTTCCTGCTCTTTAACAAACAGGGCACACACATCTTCCACTACCGCTCCAGGAACCCCGCGGGCAGAGAGCAAGGCAAAGACATCTCCTGTTCCCCGACACATGAGAAATCCCCCCGAATCAGCAAATGCAGAGGGGATGGAGCCAACCCCAAAAAGACCATTGCGACTGCAGGCAGCCAGCCCTACTGGCAAAGCCAAGGCTTGGGTCCCAGCAAGAACACGCGGCCGAGCCACCTCTCACCGAGCAACCCCAGAGCAACAGGCAAACCCTTCACCTCCCTCCCGGAAAGCCAGAAGACAGCGGATGAAATGAGGACACCCTTTGGCATCCCGCTCTCCAAACTATCCCAGTCCAAGCACCTCAAGAGCAAGGTTGCCGCGGCCTCGGGCGCTTCCCCCGACTCCAAAAAGAAGCCCCCGGAGGCCACCAGCCAGGAGGACCACTAGGCGTTAGCGCAGGTGGATGTCCAGGGCAAAAGCTGCAGAGCTTGCCTGCATCCCAGGCAATGCCGTGTTACATGGGGCAGGGGAACATGTTTGCATTTACCTGGTCGGTGCACCAGTACCACGTGGCCATGACAGACAGCCCGAAAGTCATCCCGGTCCAGGGCAGATCTCCAGAGACTGGGTCTCGGAAGAGGTGCATGGCATCTGCTCTGGGCAGGTGGCAGGTAGTGTTGGGGACGATCTTGGCTGGAACAGCTTTTAAGTAGGCCTCTTCCAGGTTCGAGTAACCGCCGATCTCATTAAAAGCTGGAAGACATCATTGGGGGAGGCTGACTAGAGTCGGTCAAAATCCAGTTGCTTCTGAGACCAGCTGGTTAAGCAAGCAAGAACTCGCTGTCCACAACTTGTTCTCCCTTCTCCCTGGCCCTGCTTCCCAAAGAGGGAGGCTACTTTGTGTTGGTGTTTTATTCTAGCTATTTAAGAGACTTCTACTAACATTTTGCACAGCTGTCCCATTACACTGTGCCCTCCCTTAGGAGGGGATCCAGGTCCTGGGACAAAGGCTCCTCAAGGGATCCACCTCTTTTGACTTTGTACTATAAAAGCAGCCTGTTTATTAAAGCACTCGAGTCCCAGAGCACGGGAAACTTCTCCGGAACTACTTAAGCGCAAGTTTGGGTAGCTTTGGTAAGCTACAAAGCAAGGTGCCTTAGCTCGAGGGTCTGGCAGAGGGTCCCTCTGAGTATTTATCCAACACCTCCTGCACAGCTTCATTTTTAAGTATCCAGAACCAAGTGCAAAAACAAAAAGCAAACAAACAAACAAAAACCCCTTCACTGCACTTTTCCTAGGAAATGGGATCCAACTTGGAAAAAGGTCTGGCCTTAGCCTAAGCGCTTCTGTTAGTTGCATGCCACGAACAAGCCCTAGCAAGCGGGCGGCTGTGTCCTGGTGCAGCTGGCTCCGGGCTCCTCCACCCACTCCCAGGCTGCCGGCACCGTCGGAGCGGCCGGAGCGCATCCCACCGGCACCGGAGCCAGGCTGCTCCAGGGGGCTGGCACTGCAGGAGATAGGGCGAATTCTGCCTTCGTCAACACTGGGGCCATCCTGGGGGTGCAGCCGGCAGGATTTTGGAGCTGGAGGCATCGCTTTCCAGCAGGAAGAGGAGGAGGAAAAAAAAGGGGACGGCCGCGTGTGCGCGAGGAGGGAGCACGGGGGGACCCCAGCCCGGGACGAGGCCGGGAGCCGGACGGCAACGCGCCAGGAGCCCCGGGAAGGCGGCTGCGCGTTGCCGCGTGCTGCAGCTCCCGGCCCGCCGCGCCAGGATCCCTCCTGCTCTGCTTTGTTTTACTGCACAGCCACATGAATTGGAGTCACGGTCATACCCTCGGTGAGCTCGTTCACCTCACAAGACAAGACCAGGCTTTAGACCCGAACGCGGCGGTAGTGTTTCTCAGTGGCCACCCTCTTTAGAGGAAAAGCAGATCCTTAATCCGCAGGGCATTGGAGATGGGATCTCCATCAAGCAATGGCTTGAGCAAGCCCCGGTCTCTAAGTGACCTTCCCTGCTGCATCCTCCCTCCTGCTGTCCCCTTGTCTCAGGGAAGACCTCTTGGGCTGACTCATCCTTTCAGCTAATGAACCTTTGTGGGGTTACAACACCGGGGTTATCAGAGACCCAAGGGCAGGGGATGCTTTTGGGAAGTGAGGAAAGGGACATCACATACCCACCTTGCAAACGGGCCCATTACAGAGGGAAGGAGCACGTGCGAAACCTTCCTGTTCTTGTGAAAGCAGAGCTGGCTCTTGGCCAGCCCACAGTTTATCCAGGCACTGGCTACTCCCAGGCTTTGCATGGGCGTTGGGCACCAACAAAGCTCTCTGCAGGAGCGGGTGAGTGCTGAAAGCCGGGGTGCTCCCCCGCCTTCCCAAACATTTAGCCGGCAAGTCCCAACACCTGCGTCTGCTCGCGCAGAAGAGCGGGACAAAAGGAGCGAGGCGGCTGAGGAGCCGCGGATGCTTCCCCAAAGCCCGTCGGCTCCACCAGGATCAGCGTCACGGCGGTGAATGCCGGGGGATGAGCACCGAAGGCAGCGGGGTGAAAGGCACCGCGGATGGGTGCAGTACGGATTGGATCGGAGCCAAGCGGAGCCACATCGGGATGCCCGACTCGGAGCACCGCAAATCACCTGGTGACATCGGATCCCCTCCGAACTGCCCTTCAGCCTCTGCTCTGCAGCGTGGCTGCAGCTTCCCATGGCAGATGCAGCTATCAAGTAAACTGGATCTGTTCATAACCCCTTAGTTTACACCCACTGGTCCTCTGACCTGTGACCATTCTGCAAAGCGTTATTTGCACAACCTTTCCTCCCTCCCTCGGAAAATGTGGTCTTAGACCTTAGCTCTGCTGCTAAGGTCTTTTCCTGCTTTTCCATCATTTCAGCAGTAGCTGATGGGACTGGCCAAGCACTGGCCACCAGAAGCCACACAGAGCTACCATGGGTTAGCAAATTAGCAGCCATACTTGTGCTAAAGATTCTGGCAAGGCAAAAATGTGGAGAGCATCTGTTATTAGTGGTTTGATAGAGCTGGATAAAAACAGCCAACCTCTGTGAAACACAAGCCTTCAGGTCCCAAGATCTCCTGAGACCTGAGAAAAGCAACACTGTGTGACCAGTAGCTTGCAGCTTGTCTCTCTGATCCCCTGGTCTCCCAAACATTACCTCTTCTCAAACCTTGTCACGCTTAGGTTAGTACCTGAGTATTTGCTGAAAGGGATTTTCCAGGCCTTGCATGCCTGTCCCCCTACTCTTGCTCTGCAAGATCGCACGGAGCCGGGATTGCAAGACAAAAGCCTTGGAGAACCTCATGGTCAGTTAGGGCTTCAGACCATAATCAGCAGCATGCAAGCACCTTGTCTAAAGCCCAAGCCACGGCCACAGCTCAGATCTGTTTGGACAGGCAATGAGCTCCTCTCCCGTCTGGCTCAGTTCATTGCTTCTGCTTGGGTATTTATTATTACTCGTACTACTCCAGGGGAGGGGAGGACCTTCTTCCTTTTTTCCCTTCTGTAATATGGAAGCTTTAAGCATCCATCCTTTCATTTAGCCTTTGTAAATACACCTTACCGAGGTCAGGGCCCTCCCAGGAATGAGGCCCTGCCTCTGCACAGGAGACCAGACATGAGACTGGGCTTGCTGCAAGTCTGCTTCTATTCCTGTCTCCGTGGCAGAGATTCCTGCATGATGTTAGGTCAATACTTTTCATATCCGCCTGCCTAAACAGACTTCTCTGGGAGATGATGAAAATCATCTCAGGAGCACTTCGAGAAATCCTGCTCTTTAGTTAAACGCCTACCTTTGAAGTTGGGGACTACCTTTTTACCTGATTGGGAAATTATGCCTCTTATTCCTCAGGGGCTAGGTGTCCAGAACAAGAATAATGAAGATTTCCTGCCTTGCAAGGGTGTTGTGAGGCCAAGTTTCATGGGAGACAACAGTGAGGAGGGTTCATAATGGCTGTTAATTAACCCTGCTCAATCAGAGCAAGAGGAAGACGCACCCCTGTGCCCTTCATCGCTCCATGCTCAGCTGCAGGAATGACTCTTTCTGGCCCTGACTCCTGCTGTGCCCGTTTCCATGTGCAGGATCGAAGGGAGCTGCCTCCTGCCCTGCGCAGATCCTCTTGGACGACCCCGCAGCGATGCACCACAGGGATCAACAGCTGGGAATCATCTACAGGAAAACTTGACGTTCTGCTTGTTGTCTAGCACTTGAACAGCTTCTCAGAGCGTGTGCACTAGGCAAGTACCAGGAGCTTGGTTGTAATTATGACAGAACCAGAAGTTCACCGGGTCTCAAATTAGCCCTACACAGAGGACTCATAGGAAGCCTTGACATCTCAGCCCACCAGACTTGCACACAGGGGAAACACAGCCGGGGAAGGAACAGGCTGCTCCACACTTGGGTGGTCTTTGTGGACTTGATTAGGTCATTGCTACGGGCCAAAGTTCTGCAAAACATCTTGGCCACCAAACTGCCCAGACCGAGTCTTTTTATTTATTTCCTCGACGGTCAGAAAGGGGGAACAGAAGGCGTCCCTGCAAGACAAGCCTGCCCCGCTCCCAGCTCTTACCTTTGACAGCCAAAGCGATGGCCCCGATGACCATGACGAGCGTCTGCAGCGCGTCGGTGTAGATGACGGCCGCCAGCCCGCCTGCGGGACACGAGCAAGGCACAGCAGCGTGAGACCCTCGGGTTCGGGCTCGGCTTTGTTGTAAAGTCACAATAAAACCAACTGCTCTCGTGAGGACGTGCCCGGCTGTTACTGCCCTCCTCCTCCTAAAGCCACGGGGCAGGGAGGTCCTGCAGGGAGAAAGTCGCTGGGAAAGGCAGGGGGGGAAATAGCGAGTCTGGATTCAGGGAGTCCCAGGATATTTGTCCCATCATTTCTCCTACCTCTTCACATTACCCCAGGCCTCCCCCTTTGGCTGCTCTCCCTCGTAACCCGATGTTATCATCTTCCCAGCACTTAAAGCTTTGCAGGGGCCCCTCCAGCCACTAAGTCAACAGTATTTCCTCCTTTCCACACCAAGCCTTCCTTGAGTGCTTGTTGCAACCCCAGCAGTGTTTACCTTTGTCAAAAAGGCATTACTCAGCGTATGAACAAAAGCATCAGAAGTCCCTGAGCTAGAGAAATGGGTCAAAACTTGAAACAATTTCAACCCAAATCATTGACTCACAGCCAAGTTATTTGAGGGCTGCACCCTCCTAGGCAATGCCTGGGATTTGGAGGGGTGTTCTCAGGATTAGGGTGACGCAGGGATCACACCCTCTGCCCGAGCCCAGGCTAAAATACGGTGCTTCCCAACAAGCCTCGTGGGCAGGAAAAAAAGGCCCGCGAGATGGGATTTGTTCAAAACCAAGATCTTGCAAAATCCACCATATTTCGGATGTACTTAAGCTGTTCTGCATTTTGATGGCTGGGGAAAGATACAGAGG